TTGCCATTGCACGCCACACAGCGTGCAAAGGCTTTTGGTGAAGGACCTTTCGGCCTAAAAAAATAAATTAAATCACCTTATTAAAGTCATTTCATTTAAAAATTCATTATCACAGTAAAAACATTAGATATTTAGCAAATTAGCATTTAGAATTATGGTTAAGTAATTTGGAAAAGAAATATTTAGCAAATACCTGGCAAAATTCACAAAAGTTAAATATCATGATAATTGATTTACATAGGTAATTTATTTCTGCACTAAAAATGTAATATCCTCTAGACCTTTCAAAGAAAATCTTGAACATATATTTATACATATAAAATTCAATGAAATAAGTCCTTATGAGTAAAATAATGAATAATATAAATAAATAATAACTTGAAATAATTTCTTATAAGGTTCGAATAACCTAAACTTAAAAGTTTTACACAGTGAATGGAAACATATCTTCGTGAAAAAAATTCTTACGTCGAATGAAAGAGCATGAAAAATGAGATTTGACAAATGAAATTTCACTCAAAAAAAAAGGGGGGCGATTATTATTATTTTATAGATTAGGCATGAATCTGCTTTACTTAAAAAGGTGTTTTAATACGGGAATAGGATCCAATTCCTTTGATTTCTTTTACAAGTTGAAGTATGTTTAGTGTAAAAGCATTTCACAACAACTAAATTACCATCATTTACAAATCATCATAAATTAGGAAATATGTTTTAAAGTGAGGCGATGCTAACGATTAAGACATTTTATACATTATAAAATAAAGAAATGAAGAATTAACAATTTTACATACCTTCACATTTGAAATTTTCTTCATCGATCATCTTTGGAGAATCCATCGCTGAAAATATCCGATTTCCACGATCAAAACAACAATTCAATATGGCGCTTCAGGAAACAGTCAGATGTGTGGTTCCGTAGATCATCAGAGCGCATGCGCAAATGAATAAACCCGACTTGGCTTTGCCCCTGTAAAGGTTGCCTTTTGTATATACACAGACCAAGCCAGACCGGGTTTCCGATTGGCGTTGCTGTGCTGTCGAAGCTTTATTTCTTCTCCCTTACAAATTCTTTGTGTGCAGACTGAAAGCTAGCACCAGCAAGATGTAGCTGCAGGTGTGAAAAAAAGGTAGAAGTCCGAAGGAGTGATTTCGGGGCCTTATGTGTGACAAAAGATCCCATGCAGACACACGTGGGCTACCATTATCTTAATAGAACATTTACCTTTTTTGCACCGGAACTCAGTTCGACGTTTTTCAGTTCGACATCTCACTGTACACCTTACTGTCGAGCGTCTTATCCTTTGCCAGATACTCTTTGTGGATAATACTGCGGGAGACCTACCAAATACAAAGCTTGATCTTTTTGTTAGTCAAATTGGGATTTTCGACGCTGCCGAGCTCACCGGGCGTAGACCAAACCCCCTTTTCGACCTGTGTTGTTGCTCCACTTCTCATCACAAGTGACGAAGTAAATCCACTTCTCATCACAAGTGACGATCCGGTCCAGAATGTTGTTCTTTCGTTAATGTTCGAGCAGATTAGTGCAGGCCCGAGCACGTCTGTCAATATCTGCTTGAGTCAGCTCATACGGCACCCAGCGAATGAAATTGTACGTCAAGTTTATGCGATACATAGCGCGACTAATGGGCATGGCACTAACGTCTAACTCCTTAGCAAGCTTTTGAGTGGTTGCATATTCATCTTTTCACCAAGTTCACTCAGGCGAACCTTATCAACATCAGTAGGCCGGCCAGAGCGCTCTGCTTCTTGAATGTCATAGTCCTTGTTTTTCAACTTTCGATACCAAACCTTCACAGTGTGTTATGATACAACATTAGTAGCTAAAACTGTATACATGATTTGGTGACATTCTGTAGCTGACATTTTGTAACAGAACTGAAAGTAAATGATGGTTGTAATCTAATAGACTGATAGTTCCAGTTCAGACACCTTTCATTTAATGATAACGATATTTTTTTACAAATTTCGCAACACAATGTTATAAAGAAAGTCTCTTTCTTTCAGATGCCAAAAATCATTTGACAAAATATTATTAAACACGTCAACGCGAACTGTCTGCGCAGACGATATTTGCGGTGGTTGGAAACTTTCGCTTAAACCCAATATTTATGCAAGATTTTATTTTGCCAGTTGTAATTGCTAAATGTGTATTTCTTGTCCAAATTACTTAGTACCATAATTTCTAATGGATGTATTTTTGAAAATGTGCTCTAAAATATAAATATTATTAAGAAGTAATTGTTAGATATAAAATGTTTACATATCTAAAAATAATTTTAAAATTTATTACGTATATGCTTAATGACCATTATAACGTGATGGATTACTTTTGCGTGCGCCTGACGAGACTTTTAAATCGCTTTATTTTCTCTGTCTAATTACTGATTTCATTACGTTAAAAAATAAATTAAGGTAGTATAGCGTTGAGGAATTGTTTAATTTTTGGGAATGAAAATTTAATAAAGAAACAAAATGAGAATTCTGGGAAAATAGTATCACGTATTTCCGAAAAAGAAATCCAATTGTAATGTAACAAGCGAAAATTCGAGTTTATATCTTAAACGTTGTAGAGTCATTAAGGTTTTTCGAAGCAGTAGAGATGAAAAATGTGCAATGCTTTCGCTAGGACTTGAACCTCTCGAATACGCCCTGAGTGTGCTACCGTTTCACCACGAAAGCATGCTGGAAGGAGAGCGAAAATACTTTCTAATGTTTCATTTTAAAAAAGCTGAAGAGAAATGTAGTGTAACGGCATTAGTCCTCGAATGAACTGTAAATGATATATTTACAGTAAATGGGAGGAAAATGTTTACTTGAAGTCAATTCAGGTTCTAAATTAAAATATGAGTGATTTGTTTCTAAGATACCAAGTTTGCTTTCCCCACTTAGACAATCGCACATAAACTGAAGCCCGTCGCCTACTTAGCGAAAACTCCTGGAGATGGCGGGAGAAAGTGAGGCGAGTTTCTCTGCTAGACCCGCTCGTAAATATTGCGCGCTCAGTCTACTTTTGTTATCATCTGTCTTCACAGTACGTCGCTGCTAACCGCATTTTCTGGATGTCTCATCTGGATCTTGGAATGAGCCCAAAGGACAAAGGGGGTCACTTCGAGGTTGGGCTGCTCTATCGTGCAGGTCAGAATGGTGCAGGGCTCCGGTTGGGACAAAGAGAGATACAGAACGGAAAAGAAAATAGGGGAATTTATGTTAGGGGGTCGATCTGTATGATAGAATAGGGGAAGAGGTCAGCATAAGGATGAAATTCAGATTAGTAGGTTCTGGTGGATGAGATGAGGCCATCATGAATCTTGAACTCTCTTGATTATGTGGAGACCCGAACTGGAGCAGAACGGTCGAACTCGAGCAATGGATATATGGCATTGGAACATGGACTCGTCCGTTCTACTTTAAAGGCCATGTTATTAGGGGTTTTTTTCCTGTAATTGCGTCGATCTATGATTTAATTTCAAGTTTTTTACTAGTATCGTATGCATTTGCATTGAGGATTAAATGTATTAATATTGGTATTTATCTTTGAGGAAAGAGGGTGCACATGGAAAAAGACATAGTTGCGTATATATAAAACGCACATGGAATTTAACTGTGAGCTGTTATTCTAACTGCAGAAGACCTTAAGTAACGAAGACGATAAGGCCGCTTAATACTGATAGATAGACAAGGGTTTAAATTCCGACGGACGGGTTGGCCATCGGAATTTAAACCGTTACAAGCCGTTTTTTGTAGTCTCGTCCCCTCTTTCATACGTAAATACGATTCGATTTCCCTTAGGAAATCTTCCACAAAGGCATCGCTGTCTTTAAAATAATAGTTTTTATGAGCTGATAAATCTAATCCAACTCAAGAAGACTTTGTAACTTGTTGTTTAGTCTTAGTAACTTGTTTTAGTTATAATTTTAAATTATTGTTGGTACTTACGTAGTGTTTCCAGATTTACCCGTTGCAATCTTTATTTGCCTTAACTGCTACTTTTCCAATTTTACTGTGCCACACGTGTTTATGTAAAACTAGTAGAATTAACTATTTTGTTGAAAGCTATTTTGTTTATTCAGAAATAAAACTGATAGGCTAATAACGATTTAAATCAGCGATTCGATAAAACAAATCTCGAACTGAGAGACTTAGAACTGCACTAGTGATCTAGTCGAAATTTAAAACCATAATAGAAAATGTGTGCTTTATCTTATCGTAAATGAGATGTATATCATCCATTCATCAAAGAAGCAGTATGGTATTGTAATGTATTGTATTTAATTATCTCAATGCTGTATCCGAAAATGCATTTTAGAAAGCAACTTTCGTTAAAGGTGAGAACGCACCACTATACAAGTACGATTTTAATTTGCTACTCCGATTAGCGTAACTTATGAAATGTAAATTCTACTTGCATAGCTATGATTTGGCGTAAAGATGCCGACACTTTATAAGGTATTTCTCCCACCTTCCTAGCGTGCCTTTTTGGTGTAGTGGTTGTGCACGCTGAGCCGATATTTCCAGAGGTCCGTGGTTCGGCGTTTGCTAATTTTTCATCTTGCCTGCTTCCAAATAATCCTAATGTCTCTACAGTGGCGCCCGAACTAAAAGGGTTGTGGATGATGACACTCCACACCCAGGATTTGGCGATTGGGTTCCCTAAAAACTCCAGTCACCCTTTAAAAGGGAGGTATAAGGTATTTTTCCCGCTTTCCTAGCGTTCCTTCGTGGTGTAGTGGTTCTGCACTCTGGGCCGGTATTTCCAGAGGTCCGTGGTTCGATTCCCGGCGAAGGCGCTGCTAATTTTTCATCTTTCCTGCTTCCAAAAAATACTTAATGTCTCTACAGCCTTTATGGAAACTGAATTTGATGAAACTTTAGAAAGTAATCTGTGTAAAGCTGCGAACAGACTAATCTGTGTAAACGTTAAACATCTTGTAAAGCCATTAGATTCTATCGATGCAGGAAACGTGAAAAATATGTAATGCCCTCACCGAGATTCGAACACCGGACCTCCCGAATGAGAACCGGACGTGCTATCCAGTTACACCACGAGGGCACGCGTTAAAGAGGAAAAAAATAATCATATAACCTTCATACCAGGGCAATCTTACGACTGTTTCTGTCTTTTCGAATACTGGCTGATTTGTGAAGACGAACCGGAACCTTTATGAAGGGGATACTGTTTTGAAGGCGTTCCACGTGTACTATTATTCATCTTAAGTTCCATTGCAGTAGGCTTCATGTAATAATAATAATATATATATATATACATAATTGGAGTTAAAATATTAGCTGGTATTTTTATTTACTCAAATGCAACCTACTTTGCTTGTTTTGATTAGTATGACGTATAATCATAATAATGCAAGTATAAAAAATAATATATTCATATTCACATCTGTATTTCTTGACGGTCATCTCTGGTTAACGAGGCATAAACGAAAAGGTGCCAGTAGTTAAACCATGCCAGTTATTATAACTACCTAGGCAGTGACTAATTACATCAAGCAACTCATTAGAAAGAAATTTATTAAAGGCCATTTTGAAGAACTGTACATTTTATATTTATTTTTCGTATATTTTATTTGTACTATTTATTTTTTATTCATCGATCAAGTATCACGAATTACATTTCCTTTTATAATGAATGTTCTCACTGCCTACTAAGCTTAAGATTCCTTTTGTAGTGAAAGTACTTTCCATACTTTTTTAACTTACTGAATCATCAGATAATAGGCATTTTTTCGACTTCACTATCAAGTCCCTTTTCTTTAATGCCGCTCTTTCATTCGGTCGGAACTGACCCTGAAAACTACATAATAATAATTCGCATCTTCCTAAACGGTGTCACAAGCAGTTCATGTGACTAGAGAACGTGTCACCCGAACAATTTTGGAGGTCACGTGGGGGCCGCGTTGTGTGTTATGTGGGGCAGACAAGGTGATCTTCACAGTCCGAGCACACTCAGGGCAGAGAATATTTGGGGGTGATATACCCACTAGGTCAAGGCCTCCCCTAGTGCTTAGTCGCGATCGCTGACCTGGAACTTCTTTTGCGTTTCAAGGTTCTGGCTGTGTAGGTGATAACCGGTGTTCAAGGTGAGATTTAATTGCTATGCATATTACAACGCTATGAGAAGAGAAAATCAAGTGTTTTTTTCCTGCCACCGAAAGCAAACTAACTACGTATAGAAATATTTGATGCTTGTTATTCAGAAAATGATGCGTGATCTTGTAAAAAGTAATAAATCGTGTATTGTATAAACAAATTGAAATATAATTAAAGGCTTGCTAACGTGATGTTAGGAAAATTGGATTTCTTAATTGTGTATATGTTACGAAGTTTTCAGGAGGAGCGGGGGGGGGATTATGTGGATGGCGAGTCATAACTTACTTTCTTTGTCCACCTTATTAAATTCAGTTTTCTTTTCTTATTATTATTCAGCCAAGGTGAATTGGAAAGGGAATTTTTTAATAATATGGGCAGCATAAACCAGTGTAAATTATTAAAAAAAAATTAATACATTCAAATTTTATATTACGCTCAAAAAGGCGGTGCCCCCCATACACATACACGTTTCGAGAGCATTTGGGCTAAAAATATTTAAAAACAGCCTATCTTAACAATTTCCGATAGACAGTCTCGCACGCTGTAGATAAAAATGTTTTTCCCCGTGCAGTGTTGCCATTGTTCGCTTTGAAATCATTGCGTTTGTTAATCAAAAATTCGTCAAAGTTTTACAAAATATGAAAGACGCAATCAAACAAATCTGAAATTTAAAATTCGGGCTTCCGAGGTGTCTATATTCGGGTGGAGGACTATGTTATTCAAAATTTCTTGGCTCTGTGTGCCGTTGTTTTTTCATAGTGCGAAAAACATGCATACATTCATGCAAATTCTTCATTAAATATAATACAAGGCGATAATAATTGGTGGCAACAATTTGAAAAGTGATTCAGACTTTTATAGTGATTCAACGAAAATCCCGTTTTGAGACTAATAGCCCTTCTGGGCTAACGCTTCTTTGGGCTAAAAATCTGTGGAAACTAATTTGAGTAATAAAAATACATTTATAAATCCATATCATACTGTAAAAGATGTTTGTCTTTCTTTATTTCTCTGTTAAAAAGGGGATATTTTCACAAAATATCTCAATTTTACATCAGACTCGTTTTATGATTTTTATTGTATCAGAGCACTATATGTCATAGTAGGGATGCCGACGTGAATGAATTTCTGACAATTTTTAATGTTATCTTGGGTAAAATAGCAGGCATCCAGCTCGCCTGTTCAATCTCAGCGGTTTTTTTCCCCTCACGTGGTCGTGTTTATCGATGTTAAATTATGTCATGAATATAATATTGATCTTACTCGCAATTTTTTTCCCTCTTCATTCTTCCTTTAATTTATTTTATTTGTTATGTATATTTGAGAAAATTAAGAAAAACGAATTCTTAACAGTCAGTACAACTGTACGCTTAAAATAAAATTCAAAAATGCGATAGCATAATATCAGTTTTATAAATTTTAACATGGCATTCATTCCTTCCTTTACTTTGGGATGTATTTAAAGCAGCATTAAAAACTTAGAAGTAATTGATTATAAAATTTTAAATATTTTACATTATCAGAATAGAAAGTAAAAACAGTTAAAGAAAAAGTTTCTGATCACAAATTTTCCACGTGTATGATTCGTTACTGAAACGTGAGTTCTGTGTTCTTTTGTTTCTGGACTAACCCTCCCCAGACACCTGTTGATACGCCTTTGACCCACTCTCCTCTCCCAATTTTGGGCCTGGACGATTTCATCGTTTCAAACTATCTTTTCGTCTGTCTGTTGTGATTCGAAAATTGGAATCAAGGGCATGGAGCAGTCCTTCTCTAGTCTTCGAGGGGTGCCAAGATCTCTGAGCTGCCCTAGTTTCAGAGATGGTGTGGCCTTGGAGAGGATGAGTCTGGCCTATTTGAGGTGGCCTGTGATCGACTTTGAACCTTCCTGTCTTGAAATGAACTAGGTATTTCTTTAACAGTTTAACAGAAGGTCAGCTATGCTTATCTTTTAACTTTGTTGACGGGCTTCACCGAATTATTCTGGAAAGCTCAGAAAAAGTTCCTTTCCCTACTGGGCCTCTCGTTATACATGCGCGACCTAGTTTCCTAATGAAAATCGAAAGTACGAAAATAAAATCAAATGAATCGCTGATGAATGTGTTATCTGAAGAGCGGATTGTACATATTATCTCAGGGAGACGTGAAATTAAAATTATAAAATAACGAAATCACAGAAAATAGTTTTTTCAGAAATGTTAGCAAAATGTTTCATAAATATCAAAAATATAAATTGTTGATTTTATATATTTCAAATTCTAAACTACAATTTATTAGCATCAAAATGTTCTTCATAAGAGCAGTGTGTATACATCATTATTTTTTGTAAAATATGTTATCATAATTTGTAAATTATTATTAATAACATCGCCTTTCCCATGAAAGGAGCGTATCATTTGTTGTCCCTAAAAATTATTGCAAAGAACACGAATGTTTTCCTGGAATGTCCTAGCGATGCTTTCGGAAAAGGCTTAAGAGAAACGTACTCGTAATCATATTACACATAAGAAAAACTGTGAAAACAACTTTTGGCCAGCAGGTTCGCCTGGGCAAATGACCACTTTTCAGTGATCTTATCTACTTCTTCAGTCTTTGATAGGGCCAGATTTGTCGATAAGATAGATTCGACTGGGTTACATTCGCAAACCGAAATGAGAGACATGTGTCTCATTCTAATGGCGAAGAAGTGGTTTGTTAGAAGGTAAAGCTTATGAATAAAAAGATGACAATGTATTGGTTTTACTAATACTTGGTTTGGTTTATTTAATTATGGCAAAGCACACTAGGGCTATCTGCCTAAGGGGAGGGAAGCCTTCGTGGAGGACTGTCTAAGGGAAACTGACTCGTTTTTACTAATACTTTTTAGATTACATTCGTATAAAATTTGGCATTTTTTACAAACAGACAAATCAATAAATTTATTCCACTAAAATGGTAAATAATAAATTAAATATGACATTTGAAACACAATATTTTTTTAAATGTAATTTATTGTAAATATTTTTTCTAAATTTTTATGCTTAAAAAAGAATACTAGTGAATTAATTAAACTTTTGCTAATATAGTAATGCTCCTTTGCTACAATAAAATATGTAAGATGCAGTTTTAGCTTCTAAAAATAAACTGTCAGAAATAATTTTACTTTTGATATAACTTAATGATAGTTTAACATTTTTGCAAATAGTTAAATAAAATAAGTAATTAATGAAAGTTTTTAAACTATTATTTTAATTAATTTAATTATTTATTGACAGGTTTTTAAAAGAAATTTAACTGAAATTTATCCAAATAAATTTTAATTAATTTTTTTTAAATTCCAAAAAAATCGTACATTTTGTTGACTTCTGGATATGGGAGTGTGCGTATGCAGGCTTGTATTTGCGAAAGGATACGTTTGTAAAAATACTCATTTTCGTACTCATTAAAAGACATTTTTGCGGTTCGTATGTAATAATCCGTTTCTTGATGTCGCTCTTCGTAAAGCCTGTAATTGTAATTGGATTTTCATATCTGCCTAACTAATGATAATTGAATTACGTTGATTTTCATAAACTATAAAAAAGTGTGGTGGTTTCTTCTTACTTTCCTTCCTTCTCCCTTCCCTTAGCTGTGAGGAAGGTCATCTTAATCGAAGTGAAAATGAAAAAATTCTTCCGGTCTTATTTACTTGAGTGTCCCTCAGTGACTTCATATCTCCTCATTTTAAGATATTGGGGTCGTATCTCATCCTGGATCCCACGTTTCTCGGTAAAGAGTTCCGGCATCTTATCCGCCAAGTAACCGGACCGCAATCCCGAAACCCATTTAACGCGTGGATCGGAGCTCCATCAAATGCCTGCAATAAACACCCTGCTTATTCTTAAAACTACACCGGAACGATACTGGATTCGAAACAAAAGACGATGTCGAGTATTCGTTCTCATTCTACAAGCCCGGAAATATGCACGA